TTAGGATCTTTTATTGACCATTTTTTGCATATAAAAAGAGAAATCCAGTCTCAAACCCGCTATCAGAGCAGACCCTATAAGTTCCTTGGCAGGATTTAAACTTTCATCTTTATGCGACGAACTATTCAACAATTGGGACCTTTTGATAATACTTATTAAATGCTTAAACTCATTTTTACCAGGACTACATCACATTTTAAAATCCATTTATTGGCATATAACCGACGATTTCCCGTATAGTAGGCCTTATTCTCCACGTGCAAGCATAGGCGAGCGCTGTCATAGGGCCTATATGGCGACTCGGCCGGGAAGTATTTAATGACGCATTGTTGGCTTACGAGGAAGAATTAGAGGAATTTCTCAAAATATTATTAAGTAAATATAATAACACTTTTCGTATTTACTTATACAATGTTTTGCGGAATTCCTCTCATGCTTTCTCGTAAGTCAGCAATTCGCATTTAAAAACTTTCCGGCCAAATTAGCATATAGGCCCTATGACAGCGCTCGCCTATGCTTGCACGTGAGGAATAAGGCCTACTATACCGGAAATCGTCGGTTATATGCCTGGATATATATTTTCTGTAAACAAAATTTAGACAATAATTGAAACAAAAGTGAAATTTCAAGACAACCAAACCTAAAAAGAATCTGATGTTTCCCAATTATGGGTTTTGTGTTGAATTTTAAATCTGATGATGACGCTGTTGTCTCGCCGAAACGTAACTAAAATAAACGATATACAAAAAAAAATTGTTTTACAGCCCAGGAAAGAAAATAATTTAATGTATCACCATGTCAAACATGCACAAACTTTACCTTTTTGTGAAGTGGAGACTCTCAATGTTGCATACGCTATCGCAGTCCTTGAAGTTCTCTGCACTGTAACAGAAAAAAAATTGATCAGGCGATTTTGCAGTGAATATTAGCAGTTGCTTTCACTAAAAATGATCGAATTACTGCACTTTTTCCATCTGGCCTGAAAAAAGGCTAATTGCCATCTAAATCTCGGTAATTTGATCGTTTACGCTGATTTCCAAATATGCACGGATGTATTTACATGGCGTGTAATTAGGTTACATAAATGCTTTTTACTATTGGCAATGATGCAACGGGCGTTTATCACTGTTTGCATGCAATTGGATGGTCTTATGCAACAATTCTACAGGGTGATTTAAATCTGGGGTCATTCCTCAGGTTCCGATGGAAGATCGAAAAAATCTGATATGCGCAAAAAAAATTACCTTCATTGAGTTAGATTAAAATGACGTTTTGCTCATTAACACTACATACGTTTATCACAACCTGCCCAGTTCGTCACAACTAACCGCTCAATTTCACTTCATAACCTCAATTCCCAAGATCAGTTTGAAGTTGAAACTGCAAGTGTGACTTTTTCGGGTTTTTAAGCCGTCGTTTCTCACTGACGTTTGGCATTGTGGTGCATTTGACGTCTTGAAGAATTTAAAACCAACAACAAAACGCCGGAAAACTGACAAGTATGTCAACGAATTGTTTAATTGCCGTCATGATTGTTTAATGCAAATGATCAAATCGCTTGTTTGCGTCGATTTTGAGCGCTTTGGTGTTTTAGTCAAATTCCTACTCATTTCATAAACTATTTTTTTTTATTCTTCTTCACGCTGTAAATGTGACCGTACAAGGTGCGATCACAAACACTTAGTGAAGGGAAAACTTAAGACAAGGTTTTTTGGGGCCATAAAACAGTGAAATGCAATGAATAGGATTCACGATTTGAGCAGCTAAGAATTTAATGGCCCGATTGTATTAATAATAATGATAATGTTTGGCCATGAAGTAATTAATTTAGCCAAATATTTGAATCATTCAATACGAGACGCAGTTTTCCATGTAGTTTAGTTACTCATTGCAGAAACTGACGTTCGCTTTAAGCAGAATCTTTCAGTTCCTCAATTCTCGTTGTTGTTTATTGCAGGAATGCCGCTCTTTCGCTTAACACCAGCGCCAACTTTGGGAGTTCTGCCCGCTCAAAACAGGCCTGGTGCGCACCCAAACACACAAGGTACTGAAAATTCTTAATTTTTCTTGAAAAGCTCAATTGCCGCCGATCAGCTTTCCAGATCTAGCACTAAGATATACAGATTTTTTGACCCCAATTCAATCTAATATTATAATCATGCCTCCGATCAGTCATTGCTCAGGGTGGTTCAGTTTTCACTAACGGAAAACTTGCTTGGATTTCATTTGTAAGGAACCCTCAAGTAAACCTGACTGCAAATCAGCTGAAATCGGCCAGAATGCAACCTAATTGTTTAGAACAATAAAAAATTACGAGGAAATGAAAGTGATTTCGTTTCATGTTGCATCATTTTCTTGGACTGTGTGAAATGTTAATTACTGCGTATATGGGCTGACGAAACTGAAAAAAAACGACTGTTTTATATTTCTTGCTGTTTTTGCACACTTGACCAGTTTTTTAACACACTAGAATAAAGCATAATTGAGGAGGAAATTGAAAGTTGCGAGTGAAACTTTCGGCATAACCAGAAATTATTTGCCACCTGGGCCTCAAATCCCGAAAACTCTCCAGCCCAAGCCACTATTTCCCAACAGAACCTCCCTTCTTCCCAGATGAAGACAGTTAAAACACGCAGAAATGTAAATCGCTTGGGCAAATCGCCAAATAATTCGCTTTTAATGCAAAAAAATAGTGCGCATTCTATGCAGCCTAACATGTTGGAATGGAACACATCAAGTTGTTGTTTTGCTTCAAGAACCTGTACGTTGAACGAATAATTATTATCATTTTCAATAACGCAAATATGATTTATTACCGTGCGATCGTAATTGCGAATTAAGTACGGCACCGAACTGTCAAGGGTGCAGGTTCGATAAATGGACTCGACAGGAAATTAATGTGGCATTTTCAGTTAATAATAGTGTGTAATAATTACAACAATTTTATCAGCATCAGCCTGTAGTGGCGTTGCAATGTTGTTTTCTAATTCTGATTTATTTTCCTGACTGCGTGTCCTTGTTATGATATTCTTATCTTTCCTGGGTCTCAGTCAAAGTGTGAAGCAAACATTTTCTTTCCTGGGTTTCAGTCAAAAATAGATAAAAATGAGTCTTTCCCGGCCGTTGCTTAAAGCTTGTGAGTTTTTTGGGTTTTTGTTATACATTGCATTTTTAAGATCATTTATTGGCATATAACCGACGATTTCCGGTATAGTAGGCCTTATTCTCCACGTGCAAGCATAGGCGAGCGCTGTCATAGGGCCTATATACTAATTCGGCCGGAAAGTTTTTAATTGCGAATTGATGACTTACGAGGAGGAATGAGAGGAATTCCTCAAAACATTGTATAAGTAAATATGAAAAGTGTTATTATATTTTTTCGGTCCTGGGTTTCATTCAAAATGTGAAATAAAAATGTTCATATTATGTGAAATAAACGATATGAACATTTTTATTTCACATTTTGACTGCAACCCAGGAAAAAAAATAATAACACTTTTCGTATTTACTTATACAATGTTTTGATGAATTCCTCTCATTCCTCCTCGTAAGCCAACAATTCGTCATCAAACACTTCCCGGCCGAGTCGCCATATAGGCCCGTGGACAGAAATAGCCTATGCTTGCATGTGGAGAATAAGGCCTACTATACGGGAAATCGTCGGTTATATGACAATAAATAATATTAAATATATGTGAGATAAACGATATGAACATTTTTATTTGTTAGCTGTACAGTTTATTTCATAACGTTTCGGCGAGTTAACAGCGCCATCATCAGATTTAAAATTCATCCAAACTCACAAATGGGAAACATTAGAGTCTTTTAGGTCTAGACAGCCAAGATCTAAAAGAATCTAATGTTTGCCAATTATGAGTTTCACACTTTGTCTGAAACCAAGGAAGAAAAATACTATAAAGTTAGCGAATCTTAAAGCTGCAGTGATTTAGAAGTGGAAATGGATGAAATCTCACCGGACTGTAGAGAGTTGGGCAAACTAAGAATCATGAAAATCTTGAACATTTTTCATCATCTTTTCAGATACTTTTTACTATTGTTATTGACCTAAATTATGGTGACTTCCCAGGTAAATAGTAAAAAAAACTAATTAAAAACCCCTCGAACTTCTATCTGGAAATCAGTTGAAAGACACTTTGACTGAGACCCAGGAAAGATAAGAATATCATAAGTTGTTTTCTAATAAATGCGTCCTGTTGCAAAGATTTACAAAATATAATCACAACAAGGTAAAGAAGCAATGAAGGCAAATTGCCAGCTCCAGCTAAGCCATCACTTTTTCGATTTCTCCACCATCAATTACACGGCCACGATTGCAATTAAAACATTACTCGTTCTCGAGTGTGTTAATTCATGTAAATTGAGACTTTCAGCTCCTATTATGCTGCATGCGATAATTTATGAGTGTATGACCTTTTAAATGTTTCGTCTTCAACTTGAACTTCACAACTCCAGAGGCAAATAACCAGCCAATTTGCGCGCCATTTACGAGGCCTGGCATGACTGATTTTCAAAATCGACTGAAAAACAACATCAGTTTTTGTGGCAAAAACACAATCGAATTGCGCCTTAATGAGGCCCTGTGCAGATTTCTCACTGTTGTCGACACGCAACTGACAATACTTGTCGCTTCGACCAATGACGCGTGCTGATGTCACCGAGTGGGTTGGTTGATTGTTTAGCGCACAGGGCCGGCTTCAGCGTGATGTTTGCACACACTATCGATCGGTGTTTGTTTGGTTTGCATTTCACTCCATCAAAATGCGGGTGTAACTCCGATCGAATTCTGGTTGAAACTGGTTTTGGAACAGCCACCTGACGAAATACTACGAGATACGATCTGATAGTATCGAAAATAATGGCTCATGTATGCAATGAATTGTTGCTGTTTGCGCACCGAAGTTACACAATGGATAATGATTAATTAAATGTTTGTCAAAACGACGCCATTTGCCAAAAATAATGATATTTTTTCTCCTCATCAACTATTAGTAGCACATACAGCAACGATCCGGCAGTATTCTATGGGATCCCATCGTAGATAATGACATTTTTGTTTGTTATAAGCTGATAAATAGCTAAACGTTCATTGTAAATAAGTTCGGAAACTCGCTACGCTCGCGCGAAACGTACATAAATTAATTTAGCGCTTTTGATCAATTTATTGCTAATTATTTGTCGCTTCGGGGCTAACGTGCAAAAAACCGGCAGTGTATTTGTTTTCGGGCAAAACTACCAAGTTCCCGCTCCTTTCAAAGTGGCCACGGTTGATTATCATATGAAGTAGCAGTACTTCCATGTAATCAACGCCATGAAATCCACATAGATTTCTTGTTAATTAACCATCATCCTATCAATTGATTGGGTGGATTGAGCTCCAGCTTTTTAGTGTCTTTGTTCAGTTCATGTGGTGATTATTGGACCAAGTGTGAGTTTTGAGCGCTCAGTGGCGGATTGTGCTTAGTTTCAACTTTAACAGCTTCGTTCAAGGTTTTTAATCTTTGTTTCACCTTAAACAACAAACGCTCCTTCAAAAACCTTCACTTCGCCCAGTTTTACTCACTTCATTCTTCCAGGAAAATGTTAAAAGGTGCAACCTTGGACAAGATGCAAATTTCCCATAACAGAAATTCTCAAACTCACTTTGCGTGAACCGAATTTGGTTTCATTTCAGCAAGTGGGTCTTTGATAGTTCATTCAATTTTTGGGCATTTTTCTGCATCTGCACCACGCTCTTCTAAAGCTCGTCTACAAAGAACCATTCGAGGCTTAAAAACGCAAAAGCTAGCTGGAGATGAGAATTTGCTTCCATTCGAGCACGTGGTTCTTTCAAAGTTTGTAGGCTCTTAGCGATTATTTTTGTTTTTGCATTATGCACTTCTGATCTGCTCGCAAAAACAAGTGAATTCGGTTCCATTTGAGAACACGCTTTCATCAAAATTAATTTTTAAAATTTGGATTGTTTGGGCGGTTTTCTGTATTTGCACCACGCTCTCCTAAAGCTCGTCTCAAATAATCATTTGCGAACTAAAAAGGGAAATTTTCGCAATCGATACGGGAAGCTTCAGTTGATTTGAGACGTTAATTTGGTCCCGTTGGAGCCAGTGGTTTTTTCACAATGCATTTTTGATGTTGGGATTTTTTGGGCGGTTTTTTGTATTTGTTCCACGCTGTTCTTAAGATGACAATTTGGTTCCGTTCGAGCGTGTGGGTTTTTCACAATTAATTTGGGAAGTTCGAAATGTTGGCCATTCGAAATGCCAAATTTGCTATAAAAGATTTCACCCCGTAGCAACAGTAGCGTACACAGTGCTAATTAGCAGTAATTTATTGAACAATCATCAAAAAACCAGCCAGCAAGAAAACTATAGCTATAAATCTTCACAGTGGGATTGGAGGTGTGACGTCTACGGTCACCTGCCTAATTACTATATCTCCATTGCTACCAGCCAATCGGCTAATTTATCAAAAATCCGCACAACCGAGCTGTTAAAGAAGCGAGCAAAATCCGCCTGCAGTGAAACTTCGACTCAATGTGCGCGTGTTCGTAGTTCTCCACTAGGTGCAAAATGAGGGAAATTTACACGTATCCAGAGGATCGGGTGACTGTCCAAGAACGGCTACTGCGTAAGTTATCCATATTTGCTTAGTGCGGCCCTGTCGCATCCAAACGCCCTTATTGCAACGAACCTCAGCCAATCAGAGCGGCCGGTTTAGTGTTGCGCGCCAGGCCTGGCTTGGGGGTTAATTGAACAAAAATCAGGAAATTGGGTGAATCATCAGATTTCCCGTTCCCGTTTGCTCTTAGGCATTGAGTCACTGCAGGGGGCCGAATATCTGCGAATGCAATTTTTTATTTAAAATTTACCTGGAAATTACAGTTCACCGTCATCTAATCTACCGATGGCGCTTCCTGCCAATTAAAATTTGGGGATTTACTTGTTATCTTCGCCTGTTCGCAAACAACACGCGCGTTTAATACGATGTGAAATCGGAAAACCAATCGAACGAATACGCACACTTTTCGCGGAAATTTAATCAAGCCGGCAAACATTTCACAGTGGGGTTTGAGGTAAATGTTGTTTAAATTCCCGTCGATACTTAAGCGATTTACATGCGAAAATTGGCGCCTTCATACATAAATTCCGTTCGGTTTCAATGGCAAACTTTTGCAAGAATTTCCCAGCGAAAAAATCAAAAATTTATTTAGACTAGATCAATAAACTGGCTGAATTAATGCAAATACTGGCACATGTTTTTCAAGTTGGGATGCTGAAAGCATGATAGTTAATTAAGCCGATCAGCTGGCGTAAATATTTACTTATCAACTGACTTATCAATTGTGGCTGATGCGGCCCTGTGCAGGCAAGGGCGCCCAAGGGCCAATGACGGCGCGGCATTTCGGAAATTCGTTGCAAAACACAGGGACGTCCCAGTCAATTAGAACGATAATAGTTAAATTAATCGCTTGCTCTTGCAAACTGGGTTATCAACCGGAATTGATGTTTCACACCATTCCAGAGTAGTTGATTGTTGGCGAGCTGGCAATTCGCTCACTGCAACATACTTATGGCTTATTAATTAGCAATTTCCTCCTGGTGAGATGTTGGCAGAAGGGAACCGGCATAATTCGATTTAAGCTCCCCCTAAATCTAAATTAAATCGTTTAAGGTTAAAGACCGATTATATCACAGTGCTTGGACATTATTTAGATTTATTGTCCTGATGTGTAGTGGCTTGGCTATTTGTCATCAAAATCATCAGTTTTCAAACCGATGTGCAGTTTTTATAGAAAGTAGGGTTTTCAGCAAATTTCAAAGTTTCCAAATCGGCCCGATACTGACAATAACGCAGAACATTTCTAGACGTTTTTCCAAAAAAAAGTGACCTTAAACCCGCAAAGAAAACATTTGCCCTGAAAAACTGCAAAACTATGAACGGAATTTATTCAGTACACACAGTGTAAAATTTAGGCGCAAAACATTTGCCGCGTGTTTTCCACCCGTCATAACTTCTTCAGTAAATTCTGGCATTCAAGTGTTAAGTTAAAAGCTAAATTGGTGCCGGTTGCGATAAATCAACGATCGACCCAAACAGTTCGACTTATGTACTTATGGCAAAGAACCAATAAATCAAACTGGAAAGATAAAATAAACGCGAACTGTTTTTGGCCGCGGCAAAACAGACGCATTTTCGTCGGAAAAATCTTAATTGCATTCGTGCCCAGCTTGAAAACATGCTTAATGGAAATTTCGATCAAATGAAATTAGCCATCTGTTCGCCAGTATTCGCGAATGAACATCAGTCTAAGGGAAACATACGAATTTTATTCCCAGTGGCTCCAAACTTTCCTTGTGCAACAATGGCGTTATCATCCGCATTTTCCAACGCATAAAAAGTCGCACCGGTGCATTCACGGGCGACAATTAAGCAACATTCGGAAACTTAATTTTCAGCTTTGGAGGCAATTATTGCACAATTTACTAACTAAAAATTGTGCTAAATGTGACAAAGTATTACTGACAATTGCTTTGGTTTGCTCCATTTGGAGACTGCTGTTTTAGCAAAGAAGCAAAGAGCCAGACGCTATGAACAGCTATTTCGAAATGTCTTCAACATAATCAAACTGATTGGTTGTTTTTGTCTTCCATTCCCATTTCAGCTGCCATTTCCTGTTTACGCGACCGTTACAGTGCTAGAGCTTTCCGATTTAATTGTGACAATTAGAAAAACTTAAATAATGTTTCCTTATTATAAAAATGTATTTACGCTCAACTTCTACGCAGCACCAAATTAGCGCAACTTCATCCAAAATAGGGACACGAATCTSGCTCGAAAAATCATTYATATGTTTGAGATAACAACGCTGCGTATAAKCATTTTTTCGATTCTAATAATAATTTTGCAACAAATAAAAACATTCGCTCCCAGTAGCTTTGCAGACAATTAACTCGCCACCTTCATGCTGAATTYTTTTTGTTCGATTCCAAGTGAAAGTTRCCAAGTTCTTTCTGAGCAAATTGCCCGGATTATTGCACTATYAACAATGATATAATAACAATAATAAAATGGGCCTTTTGTGTTTTTACAGAAATGCCGGAACAGTCAACCAACTCGTCCAAGGAGGAAGAGGAAGAAGACATAATCTCGAATGCGATTGGCGAGTTTGGACGATGGCAATTGTTACTTACATTCATCTTATCTCTAGTGAATATTCCCTGCACTTGGCATATTTTTGTGCCCACTTTTCACGCGCGAGAACGCGATTATGTGTAAGTGTTTTATGGTAAAATCGACTTACAGGGTGTCTCATAAACCTGTGATCAAATCTAGTTCACTCTTACGTATCAAAGGTCAAAACTCGTAATTTTTTTCACCAAGTCGGCAAAAATCTGAAAATTGGGCGATCTGAATGAAATTTTCGGCACTTTCGGCTTCAAGTGTCTATCACAGGAGCTTAAACTTTCAAGTTGCTGCCGTTTGTAGGTTGGAAGTTAGGAATTTTCGAAGCGAAGGGTGTACTTGAGAGAAAACATTAATATTTAGCTCAACTTTTACCCAGTCGGCAAAAATTTAAAAAAGTGGGTGATGTCAATGAAATTTTCAGTACGTTCGGTTTCAAGTGTCTTTTACGAGGCGTAAAAGTTTCAAGTTGCAAGTTAAACATTTTTAAAGCAAAGGTTGCATTTGCGAGAAAACTTGCATTTTAGCTCAACTTTTACCAAGTCGTTAAAAATCAGRAAATCAGGCGATTTGAATTACATTTTCAGCATTTTCGGCTTCAAGTGTCTTTCAAAGGATGTAAAAGGTTCAAGTTGCTGACCTCTCTAAATTGGAA